AACTTGTATATTTGGACTCCAGAATGCTTGTTATCTGATACTGTAGCAGCACTTGGAGATGTTGCTGTCACTGAATTCTATGCCAGCTCTGTTTACCAGGGTACCACTGACTCTGGCTCTATATTTTTACTCTATAATTTATTACCTCCCACACAGCCAGAACATCCCTCATCCCGACTGAGCCCTGAGGACACACACACACACACACACAGACAAACCAACAACACTAAATCACTAAATTAGAAAGTCATAGGACCTCTGATAAAATCTTATCTCTGCATCATACAAGCTAATTGACTCAATAATAAATTCTTTATTTCTAAAGTAATCTCAGATTATCTATTAATAATACAGAAATAACTTAGTTTTTCAAGTCCTGATATAAGTAAATCTCAGAGAACCTACATAAGGTACAGTAGAGATATTGGTATTGCCAGTCTCTAGTCATATTTTCTGTTATGGCAATTCCCCTATATGAACCCTACACTCCAACCACTTTTGAGTCTATCAAGTCTTAGAAACTTACTCCTAACAGATCACCTGAGCATTGGACACCAGCCAAATCCACGCCCTCCATGCAACTTAGACTTTGAAATAGACTGCCTGTGTCACCTGGATCTGAACCTACGCTTTCTAAGTTACTTAAGTCTTGGAAGCCTCACAATTCTTTTTCCCTTAACTTTAGAACAATCTGCACCTTCTGGATTCTGACATCTTCACTCTGCATTTTTTAATGTTTAGTGGCCTAGAAAACCTGTGCTCTGAAAGACAGCTACTGTTACCTTACATCCCTCCACCAATCATAAATATTTTTCATATTCTACCATGTTCCTGTGTCCACTGAATTCAAGAAACTTTTCTAAAAGCATTGAAAATTCACTCATTACTGTCTGAGAAAAGCCCCAGGGGCTGCCAACATCTGCTTCCTTAAGTCTCATAAACCTGCCCTTCCTGGTTTGAGCATTAGAGCTAGGTGGAAGTTGGACAAGCCAAACTAGGAACGTTCAGAGGAACTAGACACACTGAGGGTGGTGGTGGAGGTGAGGCAGAGACTAGGCTCAGGTCCAGCAGCAGGAAGGAGTCCATCAAAGCACGGAGATCTCAAATAACATAGGAGGGTTGGGTAGGCAGGTGGCTAACTACAAAAAAAGACCCATCATGAGGAAAAGGCAGAAAAACCTACAGGGAGATTGATGAGCATGGCTTGCAAAAATGTTCAATTTCTGCCCTGACCGGTTTGGCTCCGTGGATAGAGCGTTGGCCTGGGTTCGATTGTGGCTGGATCCCCAGTAGGGGGATGTCCTGCAAGGGGCGTGCAGGAGGCAGCCAATCAATGATTCTCTCTCATCATTGATGTTTCTCTCTCTTCCTCTCTGAAATAAAGAAAAGTATGTTTTTAAAAAAATGTTCATTTTCTGTATCTACTCTAAACAGCTTTAGTCTGGTAGAAGAAACAGGCATTTTAAACCATAATATCATGTGATTTGGGCGATACCAGTGATATTAGTGAAGTGCCAGGGGAATGGTGGAGACAATAATAAACTTTTCTGAGGAGATTCAGACAGGTACTTATAGAGATTTTCTAGGGTTGCCATAATAAGGTGTCCAAGACCAGGTGGCTTAAATTACACAAATTCATTTTCTTACCGTTCTAGAGGCTAGAAGTCCAGGATCAAGGGTTGGCTTCTTCCAAGGCCTCTAAGCTTGATTTGCACCTGGCCATTTTGTTTTCACATGGTTGCCTCTGTCTCTGTCACAGTCGTTCTCTTCTCATAAAGACACCGGCCGTATTAGATTAGGGTCCACCCTAATGACTTCATTTTAACTTAATGGCCTTTTTAACGACTCTATTTCCAAATACAGTCACATTCTGGGATGCTGAGGGTTAGGAATTCAACATATGAATTTGGAGGAAACAAGTCAGCCCATAACAGTACCTTAAGAGGTAACATTTCCCCCCTTTTTCTTTTTTTCTTTTAAGTGTTCATTGTTTATTACTGTTTTGGCTGCATTCTCTACAATTTCAGCGGTATTTATTTATTTATTTATTTATTTAAATGTTCACCTGGGGATATTTTTCCATTGATTTTTTAGAGAGAGTGGAAGAGAGAGGGAAAGACAGAGAGAAATATCAGTGTGAGAGAAACACATCAATTGGTTGCCTCCTGCAGGAGACCTGACCAGGGCCCGGGTTGGGTAGGAGTCTGTAACTGAGGTACGTGCCCTTGACCAGAATGGAACCCATACCCTTCAGTCCACAGGCCAACAGGATTTTCATTTTATCGATGATTTTATAAGACAACTTCTTATCGGTTGAGAACATAGCATCCATTATACTATCTATCTATGGCTTTGTTTACAATTTCAATATTTATTCATTCAATATGTCCATTTATTCTACCATTTTCAGAGGCTATTAAAATAACCATAAAGTTTTAAAATAGTAAATTGTACTTTATCAAAATTAAAAATTTCTACTAATCAAAGATATCACTAAAGAAATGAAAAAGCAAGACATGACAGGAAGAAAGCATTCCCCATACATATATCTAATACAAGACATATACAGTACAGACTGTTGTGGATGAAAAAAAGGAGTTCATGAAAAGAAAGCTCACAGGGTGATCTGATCATACATTCTTAACTGGGCATGTCACGGTGGAGAGCAATGCCCCAGACATATCATTTCTTTAGTTAGAGGCTTACCTTTGCCTCGAGCAAGCCCTGACCATTGTTTCTGTGCGATCGACACACCATGGAAATATCTCTTTCAGACCTTATTCTAACATGTGACCAGCAATGCAGACCCGTCCTTCTGAAGGGTGCCCACTCTCAAGAGAGCACATAATCTTAACTATTCTGTCACCAGATTCCCAGCCTTGCTTTCTCCCACCTTCTGGTAATCTTTCATACCTTCCCTACTTAATTTCTTTTTTTAAAAAATTTCTTTTTATTGTTAAAAGTATTACAGATGTGCCCTTTTCCCCCCACTGACCCCCTCCACCTGATTCCTCAAGTTCAAATGCATAAAAGAAACTGCAAACTATTACTCTCTGAAGCATTTTTTAAAAATATATTTTTAGTCCTAACCAGTTTGGCTCAGTGGATAGAGCGTCAGCCTGCAGACTGAAAGGCCCCAGGTTTGATTCCGGTCAAAGGCATGTACCTTGGTTGTGGGCACATCCCCAGTAGGAGGTGTGCAGGAGGCAGCTGATTGATGTTTTGCTCTCGTTGATGTTTCTAGCTCTCTATCCCTCTCCCTTCCTCTCTGTAAAAAATGAATAAAGTATATATATAAAGTATATATATAAAGTATATATATATATATATATATATATATATATATATATACATATTTCAGAGAGAAAGGGAGAAGGAGATGGATTGATACATCAATGAAGAGAGAGAATTATTGATCGGCTGATTTATGCATGCCCCCTACTGGGGATCAAGCCCACAACTTGGGCATGTGTCCTTGACCAGAATTGACCCAGGACCCTTCAATCTGATGCTCTCTATCCACTGAGCCAAACCAGTTAGTGCTTTCTGAAGCATTTATTTCTGTTTAGATCTTGCTTCCAGGTATATCCTCTGTTTCACTCAAATAAATGTTTATAAAAACTCTACAAAAAATAATAAAATGACTGAAACAAAGAAAAATCTAGATTTGGACATACTTGTGTTGACAATATATAAGTACTAGAGGCCTGGTGCATGAGATTCTTGCACTTGGGGGTGGGGGGTCCCTCAGCCTGGCCTGCACCCTCTTGCAGTCTGGGCACCTTCAGGGAAGCGGGCCTAAGCCATCAGTTGGACATCCTTAGTGCTGCTGCAGAAGTGGAAGAGGCTCCTGCCACAGCTGCTGCACTCTCCAGCCATGAGCCCAGCTTCTGGCTGAGTGGTGCTCCCCCCTGTGAGAGCGCACCGACCACTAGTGGTTGTTCCGCCATTCGGTCAATTTGCATATTAGATTTTTATTATATAGGATTCCTACAAATAAATAAGAGTATAAGAATCCACCTTATTAACCTGATGAACAGTGAGTAAAAGACTTGAACAGGCTTTTCATAAAAGGCATCTGAATAGCTTATAAGGTATACATCTAAAAATATCAACATCATTAGTCACTAGGGAAATGTATATCCAGTAGAAAGACTCAAGTGTAAAGGTTGACACCAGTTGTTGACAATGATGTGGGACAATTGGAACTCTCACATATTGGTAGCATTAGAATGTAAAAATGGTAACACTACTTTGAAGAACTGTTTGACAATTTCTTACAAAGTTAAACATATACTTATCATTTGACCCAAAAATTCTGCTCCTAGGTGTTTACCCAACAGAAAAGAGAACATGTCCACAGAAGACTTGGTTGAGAATGTTCATAACAACTTTACTCAAAATAGTTACAAATTGAAAATAAAATAAATATCCACTGTAAACAAAAGTCTGAGGCTATATTTAGAAAACAAATTAGCCTGGCCAGTATGGCTCAGTAGTTGAGTGTTGACCTATGAACCAGGAGGTCATGGTTCAATTCCTAATCAGGGCACATGCCTGGGTTGTGGGCTCGATCCCAGGTGGGGGCGTGCAAGAGGCAGCTGATCAATGATTCTCTCATCATTAATGCTTCTATCTCTCTCTTTCTCCCTCTTCCTTCCTCTCTGAAATCAATTTTAAAAAATTAAAGAGAGTTTATTCAGATAATGATTTGCCCTTAATGCAAACCAAGAATACATTCCAAAATGGAGGCGATACTACAGTTTACAAAGGCAAAAGTTAAAAGGAGTTGTTGGTCAGAGATGGGTTTCTAGGGTTAACAAGACTAACCCTAGTTAATAAACTAACATGGTTTGTTTTCTGATTAGTGGGGGGAACTGAAATTTCAATGGTTGGCTGACTCAGGGATCAAGCAAGTGGGGTTGTGAAAATAATGGGTAATATGATTGAGCATTTATCAGGTCCTAAGTTAGCGCTGGCCTAGAGAATAGAAAGGCTGTCCAACGTGGGTACCCCTGGGAGGTCCGTCTTCCCAGGGCTCTGCCCAGGTGGCCTAGAGGAACATAGGGCTCTGCCCCTGATGTACTGCTCTTTCCACAGCGTTGGAGAGAAAGCCGGCCTTGAGTCTGCACCTGATTATTCCTTCAGCTTTTCAGAGTCCTGTGGACAATGGCTGAGGAGACATACCATGCAGGAAATATCTAGTATAAATAATTAAAGATAAATGTTTATAAAGTAAAGATAAATAAATAATATTTTAAAGGCTGTCTTTGTCTTTTTAAAAATATTTATTGTTTTATGTTGTTTTTTTAAATAACTATTTATTGTTGAAAGTATTACCTATGTCCCCCCATTGACCCCTCTAGCCCACCCTTGCCCCCCTCCTCCCCAGGCCTTTACCACTCTATTGTCTTTGTCCCTGGGTTATGCATGTATACATACAAGTTCCTTGGTTGATCACCTCCCACCCACCGTCCCAAAAGGCTGTCTTTGATCACACAATTATAGTGCAGGGATCATTATTTAACAAGGATGGAAGGATTACAGCTTATCAAATGGTACAATCAGCTTAAGGGGCACTGCTCCTTCTGCAGGCAGTATTGGAGCCCATCCGGCAAAGGTAGGCTCTATGAGCAATTCCCGCTCCGGCCAGGAGGGGGCGGCCTCAGCCCACAACACCTTGGCGTGACTTAGGTTCGAGGCTCCACTGGGGGGCGCTAGGGTCTAGCTCGCGAGCCGCCCTTCCCCTCCGGCGGAACCATCTGCTGGCGCCCTGGTTTCTGGGCGTTTGGTGATCAGGGAACACCAGGCACTTCCCGGCGCTTCCGTCCGGCCCCGGTGGTTGGCTGGGCCCCACGGGGGATTCCGCCGAGCGCGGGAGTGGAAAGCGAGCCCGTCTCCCCGCGGATCCCCGCGGCGTCTCCGCCCTCTGCGGGTCCGTGGCCGGAGCTCGGGCCGCATCCCGGGCCGCGAGCCGGGCGCCCGCGGGAGGCGGGGCGATGGTGCAGATGGAGACGCAGCTCCAGAGCATTTTTGAGGAGGTGGTGGTGAGTGGCAGGGCCAGGGGCCCGGGGCGACGGCGGCGCCAGGCGGGGGCCGGGGGCGGCGGGGCCCGGAAGCGGCCCTCCCCCCCCCCCCCCCCCCGCGCCTTGGCGGCGAGGCGGTGCTTGCGTGCGGGGCCCGCGACCCTCAAAGTGCGGAGCGGCTCCGGGTCCTGGAACCCCAGCGCCGCGGTGACGGGCGGGGTCCGCTCGGCCGCGGCCCGGGAGGAGGACTCGCCCGCGTTACCCCGAGTCCTTGGCTCGAGGAGGCCCCTCCTGCGCATTCTTTTACATTTAATTCACAGCGTTTTCTTTTGTTTGTTTGTTCTACAGAAAACGGAAATTATAGAGGAGGCTTTCCCGGGGTGAGTATCTGCATGGCAGATTCCGGCGTTTTTTACGTGATCGTATCTGTAAGGTTTTGCGTAGTTTTCGCCTGGCGGGTTTGTCAGACCCACTGTTGTAGTGGAGTCACTTATGTCGAATGACCTTTTTCAGACGGCGTCAGCAATGTGGCTTTTGTTCCTAGGATGTTTATGGACACTCCTGAAGATGAGAAGACAAAACTGCTCAGCTGCCTGGGGGCCTTCAGGCAGTTCTGGGGTGGGCTTCCTCCGGTGAGAACTGCTGCTGATTTTTGACCCCTTCTTCTTCTTCTTTTTTACATTTACTTTGATGTTGGTGTTGGGGTTTTTCCGGGAAGCGAGCGGTAACATTGTCATCAGCTTGTGTTTGTCCGTTCTGGCCCCCACTTGTTCCGGCTTGTGTCCTTCCAGTGGAGAAGCCGTATCTTGGGAAGCCAAGGTGATGACAGCGCTGCCTGAGATGTTAAGAACCGGCCCCGTGTTAGGCTATCTATGTAATACCATTTCCACCCCGTTCAGATTGACTTGGTGCCTTTGAAAACAGCCCTTTTAGGGATTATAAAGGTTAAAAACTTCATTCATTTTCTCAACAAAACAACTGGCACAGCGTAATGAAGCTACCACTAATGTAAAGATACAGCAATGCCACAGTCAGGGTGCATGCTTTTATAATAGGGATATAAAGATAGAAGAAAAGCGAGGAAAAGAATAGTAACACTTAGTAACAAAGAACAGTCACCAGGAAATGTATCCCTGAAAAAGGCAAAATATGTGGTCCTTTAGGAGTGTGTGCCAGTAGTGCCTTTTCTTCTCATGGGTCATTATCGGTAGGGAAATGCGTGCAGTTGAGGCGCTGGTGGTAAGACTTGCTACTCAGACGTGGATCACATAGTGGCAATACATTCACTTCTTAAAAGTGTTCTCTCTGCAACCAGTGTGCTCAGTTTGTTTCCTTCCAGAAGTATTTTGTGCATGGAGAATCATTTTTACAGACTGGTCATATACTATGTACACAGTTCATTTCCACCTTGCTTTTTTCCCCCTTAAAAATTCTGCTTAAGAAAGTAATTCTATAGCAATCCACTAAAAGTTAAGTTTTCTGCCCTCCTTTCTTACAGCATAATATTCTATGTTATGGCTGTACCTTCCTTTATTTAACCAGTCTCCTACTAACTGACATTGAAGTTGCTTCTTATCTTTCCTACCTTAAACAATGCAGAATGAATAATATTATATACAGACACAGAACAAATTCTTGGAAGTATATTTAGAGGGTATATTGTATGAGGTTAAGGTATGGCCCTTGTCTTCAAGAAGATTATATTCTTCCGGGGGAGCCAGGAAGAAAATAGATATTTCTAAATCAGCATATGTTCAACAATAGAAGTATGTATGAGGGACAGTGGTTGTGCAGAGGAACAGGACATGGGCGATTCTTGAGGATATCCTAGAAGACAGGCTTCGATATCGCACTTCATTTCTGTATCATATTGAAAGCTGTATGAATCCAGAAATTTGCTATGTCATTGGATTCATTTTTGGCTCTTAGGGATTAGATTTACACTAAATTTCATGAGGCTGATATATTTACCCATAATGATTTCCCCCCTTGCCCGCCCCCCCACCCCCAGTGATAGGAATATTTCTATTTGCCATTAAATAGGTTACTGCTTATAATCTGTATTAGAGTTTTCTGTTAACCACAAATATGTTAATGATATCTTACTTCTTTTAGAGGTCCCATGAAATAAAAATGGTGGGGATTTTAATTTATATAACTGTAAGGTTTTATGCTTAATATAACTGAAATGCTAAGTCCGATTTTTTTTTTTAAATTGTCTTTATCAATGAATGCTTATAGTAGAGTATCTCATTCATAGTCTTGATATGCAGTACTCTCAGGTGTGTAGTATTAGTTGTTTGTTAGTTACAAGATATAACTTTAGACTTAAAATATAATCATTTTCTAATTTTCCAGGAATCTCATGTACAGTGCATCCAATGGATCGTTAAATTCATTCATGGCCAGCATAGTCCTAAAAGAATTTCTTTTCTTTATGACTGCTTAGCAATGGCAGTTGAGACTGGTCTTCTTCCACCCAGGTATGTTTATTGGTGGGTGTAAGCAATCCAAAGAATTATTATTTTTTTATTAATGTTTGGAAATTGATCGAAATTGTTGTTGTAAAAGGATAAGGAAATGAAGTAGGAAGTTAGGTTCAATAAGCAATCCTTAAACCCTGGCAAGGTGGCTCGGTTAGAGTAATGTCCCGCTATGCCAGGGTTGTGGGTTCAATCCCCCATCAGGGCACATAAAAGAATCAACCAGTGAATACATAAATAAGTAGAACAACAAATTGATATTTCTCCCACTCTCTCTCTCCTTCCCTCTCTCTAAAATCAACAAATAAAAATTAAAAAGAACAAAAACAATCCTTCATAATACCTCACGTTTTAGTTTCTAGGATACAGTATTCTTTTTAAAAAATTTTGATTGCTTTTTTCTTTTTTTTTTTTTAGAGAGTGAGAAAAAAACATCAATGTGTTGTTCCACTTATTTATGCATTCATTGGTTGATTCTTGTATGTATCCTGACCTGGGATCAAATTCGAAACCTTGGCATAGCGGGATGGCGCTCTAGCCACTGAGCTACCCAGCCAGGGCTAGGGTACAGTATTCTTAGAGTTGTGAAGTTAGAGGCTCAGAAACAGACTGGCTTTGCCTTTCAGCTCAGGGGTTAAAATCACTCACTTTAATGAGCTTGTTCTAGTTAACATTTGCTGCACTTAAACACCATCCTCTAAAACAGTAATAATCATTTTATTACTAACAATCATGGTGGTTGATTGGGCTTACGAGGCAGTTTTTCTCAGGGTCTCATTCTTATAGTCAGATGGTAGCTGGGACTGCAGTCATGACAAAGGCTTCTCCATTCGTATGTTTGGTGATTGATGCCGGGCTATCATCTGGGACCTCAGTTGGGTCTGTTGGCTGGAGCCCGCACATGCCCTCTCTGTGTGACCTGGACTTTCTCAAAGCATGGTGGACTGTAAGGGCAAGCATTCAAAAGAGGGCCAGGCCAAAGCGGTATCGTCTTGCTTTGGAAGTCATACAGAATCCTTTTGCCATGGTCCGAGGCCTGTCCAGATTTAAGGGAAGAGGAGGTAGACTCTCCCCCAACCTCTTCCGGGCAGAATATCAATCTCACATTTCAGAGGAACATAAGGATCCAAAATCTTGTTGCAGCCATCTTGGAAAAAATACAGTCTGCCGCAAGCTGATAGATGGTAAACATTTAACCATCTGTGTTTAGATTTCTTTCTAGTTAAAATACAGAGTACTATTTAGTCCTGCTTTGTGTTTATTCTTTCATACAAGTAAAATCTATAAAATACTGTACATACTTTTAAAAAGTGTGCTTGAATAATAACACGCTTTTATGAAAAATACTTACTGGGACAAATATAGTAGCCAGAGTATACAGACCTTGGCTACTAGAGAACTTGTAAAATTCTGTCTTATAATTGGAATGTTGTTGGTTTCTTTCCTAGGATGGTTTGTGAATCCCTGATAAACAGTGATACTCTTGAATGGGAAAGAACACAACTTTGGGCCCTAACTTTTAAACTGGTTCGGAAAATAATTGGTGGAGTGGATTATAAGGTATCTTTTTTTTTTTTTTTTACTAATTATAAAAAGTAACCGCTGTCAGGCAAGATTAATTTTTCAGTTGTAAATATCTTAATTTCAGATGGGAGAAATTAAGTCGAAGCATTTACAAAACTTACTTTGTGTTG